TGTCAAGCCAAAAATATTTTGTAATTTTCGTGGATCATTATTCACGAATGACATGATTATATTTAATAAAAGAAATATCTGAGATTTTAACCAGATTTAAATTGTTTCACAAGGACATCTAAACTCAATGCAATAAGAATGAGTGTTTCTTTTACGTTAAGATAACGTTCAAGAGTATCTTTCGAGAAAATTTCAAAAATTATTTTGTTCAAAATGCAATTTACACATACTCCACAATAGAACGGTGTCGCTGCAAGAAAAAATCAACATTTACTTGAAGTAACCCACACTTTGCTAATTAATATGCATGTTCCAAAAGTTTATTTAATCTTGTTGCCATCTTTAGTTTTGAATGGAAAAACACAGTGGTCTATTATCTTCCCTGATACTCTTATTTGTTCTTCCTCCATGAGTGTTTGGGTGTGTTTTCTTTGTTCATGTGTTGGGTGCTGGCAATGACAAATTAGATCCTCAAGCTGTCAAGTGTGCTTTTCTTGGGTGTTCATGATTTCAAAAAGGTTATCGATGCTATCATCTTGGTTTATAAAAAATTTTATTTGTGCTGATGTTGTTGGGGTTTTGTGGCCTTTAAAGCCCGTGAGAGCATGTAAAATTATGAGTTGTAGCATATTATACACTTCAATAGGAGTGTGTGTGTGTGTTAGTTGACAGACCTAGGGTTAGGTGGTTTATGGCCCTGGTCATGTCTAAAATCCTTTTCCCTGAGCACATCAGCGTATGGCACTAACATAGAGGGTTTTTAGAGGGTCACCCCTTGTTGAGGTCGGAGAGATGTCCAAGGATGGATTGTAGGCCAAGAGAGCTTTGTGATCTCTTGTGTGTGAATATAGGCCTATAAAAGCAAAGGCTGAATCCTCAACAAACTTCTGCACAGCATGTACACATGACAGACATATATACCGGAAAGCAAACTTGTAAAGGGATATGCGTACATGTGCGCAGAGAGTGTCCCCCTTGCACTATAGTTATATGTGCATGTGACTTGCTCGTAACGGGGGGAACCTGTAATCCACATTTCAAGACCGTGGTTTCACAATTTATTGGTCAGCTTTGACAAGTCTATCATGACCCTTTGCATTAGACTGTGGGTCATGGATCTCATTGGATTGGTTTGAGAAGATAGTTAAAGATTATGGTTACTGGATCAATTGGAGTGCCCTAACAATCACTTTTCTTGACCCATTGGTACCAATTCACTTCTAAAATTTTCATTTTCAATCATAGAAATGTTTATGTTGCTTTTAAAGATTTTCAAAATTTTAAAAATCTTTTTGAGCATTGAAAAACTCTTAAAATGGTGTTTCTAGAATATCAGGAATTGTGGAGGGGCTAAAAGGAACATGTGAGAACATTTTATGTTAAGAAAATATTCTTTCAACCTTTCAAATTGACCCAATATTTTTTACTTTGAAACAATCTTTTGTGAGAGAAAAGGAAGTTCTAGTCAAAATAGAAAACGTATTTTGTTTGGTCTTATCCTAGGTTGACTAGAAGTGGAGGTCAAAGATTCAAAGGATAAAATTCCTAGATTCCTCCCTAAATCATGAAGGCTAATTCGTGGGATGGATGGCTCAGTTTTTTTCTCTTGCACCTCACAGATTACCTAAGATTCCCATGGCCAAGATGAATTATAAATAAGATAGGCATACCTAAACCCACTTGGAGGCTATAAATAGATGGTAGACCTCCTCATTCTCACAATCTAAAATTCCTAGTCTCTCTCTTTCCCCTTCTCTCTCTCTCTCTCTCATCCCAACGGGCGGCACGCACCACCCTAGGGAAATTGGGGTTGGCATGCCAACCACTAATAAAATAGAGGGGCACCCCACCCTTATAGACCCAAGGGAGGTGCCACTTGCAGCATGCTTAGAAAGGTTCAAAAGGGGTCTAGAGAAACCCCAGTATTGTTTTATACTCTCAAACCCTAGATCCAAAAAAGGTATTGCCTAAAGGAGCTTCCCAACTCAGAGAATTCAGCAGGGCCAACAGGATCAAAATGCGCAATCGTTAGGTATTGGATGTGGGGTATACCAAGTCATAAGGAGGTAACCCTAGGCAAAGTCATGTAATTCTTCCCAGCTGTTTTGGTTTACTTTCAGTCATAAATGTTCAATTTATTGCAATTTCCAGGAACATTACTTGTATTAGAATTTATAGTTAAAGCTTGTATTCAATCTCGGATTGAGCCATATTTATTTGGCGGTAAAGAGGGAAGATCTAAGGTTGTCTTTTGAGCGTTTTTTTCTTATTTACAGCATTGTTTTGTGGCACTTGTAAGTGAAAGTCAACTAATATTAACCAAAAAAAAAAGAAATCATTTTATTTTACTCCCTGGAGTTCCACATTGCCACTTCTTTCAGATGTTATCTTTTTTTGAAATAATCCTTATTTTTCAAAAGATAGTCACATGCTTGATGCAAATTTGTTTTATCCTACTCTAGACGAAGCCTCACAGTCCTCATCTTCAATAGTTCCTCTTCCTACTCCTGTTGATACTTCTTCTTCACCTCAGTTACCTAGAACAACTAAACCTGTTGCATCTACACATCAGAATGTCCCTCAAGAGCAGCCCACAAAGGTTTACACAAGAAGGAAATTGCAGGATGGACCCCCTCCACCAACTCAACCAACCAATTAACCCTTCATCTCCATCTATAGTTCTACTTTTTGCTTCGAACTCACATTCTGTGTCTAGTGATGATAATGGACCTATTGCATCCATAAAAGTAAAAGGTCTTATACTCATTTCATTGCTTATTTTGTTACCTTTGCAAATTTGACCCCATCTTATCAAAGTTTTTCTTTAGCTCTTTCACCTATTTTTATCCCTAAGTCTTATCAAAAAGCACTTTCTCATACTAGGTGGAAGAAAGCATTGGAAGAGGAAATGAATGCACTCAACTTGAATGATACATGGGAGCTCACAGAGTTACCAGCTGGAAAAAGAACTGTTGGGCGGCATTGGGTTTATGCAGTAAAATATCAGCCTACAGTACCATCGCGAGATTAAACACCAGGTTGGTTACCAAAAGGATCCACCCAAACCTTTTACGATTGATTAGTCTGAAACTTTTGTACATGGACTTAATTTAGTTTGAGCAGTTATATTTGTAACAGCAAACAACGGCTAGCCACTATGGCAGGTTAATGTGAAGAATGCCTTCCTTTATGGTGATTTACAAGAGGAGGTGTATATGAAGCACCCACCTGGGTTTGTTGCTCAGGGGACTCAGCTAAGATATGTAAGTTGTAGAAAGCCATTTACAGTCTAAAACAGTCCCACGTGCATGGTTTGAGAAATTTAGTGAACTTGGTGTTGCATATCGTTTCAACATAGCTATGCAAATCATTTCATGTATATCTGGAAACAGGCTTCCAGGATAATTGTCTCAATTGTCTATGTTGATAATATTGTCATTACATGCAATGATCAAGAAGGAATCAGTCATTTGAAGAGGCAGCTAATTACGATACATTCAAACAAAGGATTTGGGCCAGTATTTTCTAGGAATTGAACTATAGCCAAATCAAAGCATGGCATTGGTTTGTCACAAAGAAAGTATGCGACTGACTTGTTGGCAGTGGCTGCCACGTTAGGGACTAAACTAGTTGATACTACTATAGATTCAAGTAACAAAATCATTGGCTGATGAGAGCCAGTTGTTTGGGGTTCCAAGAAGGTACAGAAGACTGATAGGCAGGCTGATTTATCAGACCATTACTACGCCTAATATTGCTTTTGTAGTAAGTATAGTGAGTTGGTTTGTGCACTCTCCAAGGATTCCTCAATAGGATGTCTTTCGTATAACTTGGAGGCATCTGAAGGTAGCTCAAGTAGAGGTCAGATTTAAAAGTCAAATAATGATTTGACCAATGAGGGTTACTTAGATTATGCAGGTTCTCCATCTTACAGGTGGCCTACCACAGGCTATTGTACATTTATTGGTGGAAATATAGTTACATGGAGAAGTAAGAAACAAAATATTGTTGTTGGATCAACTGCAGAGGCCAAATGTAGAGCAATGGCACATACTACATGTGAAATAATGCGGCTGAAGACACTAATGCAGGACACAGGGTTTACTATTGCTGAGCCATTAAAGATTTATTGTCATAATAAAGCCGCAACTTATCTAGCAAGAATCCAGTGTTTCATGGGGGAACTAACATAACAAATTAAACTGTCATTTTATTCAAGAGAAGGCCTAGTAAGCAGGTGGCTGCATTGTATGTGAAATCTAAGGATCAGTTGGCAGACATCTTCACCAAAGCTCTTGGTTGTAATCTGTTTCAAACAATTTGTTCCAAGCTGGGCATGGGCAACATCTATACTCCAGTTTGAGAGGTTGTTAAAAGTCCCTTTTCTAATCCTTCTATTTTAAGTTAATGACCTGTATGTCCTATTTTAGGTGTGTGAGATCCAATTGGGACTCTCACATTACTCTCCCTTCCTCTCCCTCTTTTCTTTCATTTCTCTCTCCCCCTTCTCTGACAACTACTAATTGTTAGATCGTAGAAGCTAGTAGACAAACAGGCCAGAAAATGTTGGAGTGGGTAAGGAGGGTTCAGGATGTTGTCAATGTGATGATTCAGGTTGATGGCATTCTATGTCTCCTTGAGGGAGTTAACTTTGAAAATAACACCATTTGTACCTTGTTCTTATTTTACCCGCAAGAAAATTTCATAACAGAAAAACGATAGCTACCAAATGCAACTGTTAATTGAAACGACCAACAGTAAGCATCTTTTCCATTAAATTGAGGAAATTCACTTCACAGAAAAAAATTAGGGATAAAATTCAGTCAAACCAGAGGACAAAACGGTCATCCACAAAATGGATTGACAATCAAATAAGATGAATGCCATGCACTTTCATGGAAAGTGCAGGACCTGATGGTGGGCAAGGCTTAATAGTATTACCATAATTCAGAGCAAAGGAATATTTAGTTGGATAACCACATATATGAGATAGGCACTACCGTATCTGCGAATTCCCCCAAGCAGAATCAAAAGGAGAATAGACGATAAATGAAATATAGAAAGGCGCTTGACATGAATCAAACATCAACTCCAATGAATGTTCACCCGAGCAAGTTTTCTTGAACAGTGTCTTCATGCAATCCTCTCCGCTAAAATCAAAAAGACAATTTTCAAAGGACTCGCAGACTTCAAAGATTCCATATTTTAATATCACCCATAGCATCCATTCAAGGTGCAGATGTATGAAAAAACCATTTTAATGGAATGATAGATAAAAATTCTGTTTCAATTATGTAGTGATGAGAGAAGTATCAAAGAGTATAATGAAGTATCAAAGACGCTAATTTCCATTCTCAGGCATACCTTTCAGATTTAACAAGATCTGTGCCTGAAGGTGAGTTTTCAGAGTCTAAGAGAACCCAACATGAAGAATCCGATCGAAAGATACCCTGCCAATAACAACTATCAGTATAAGCATTTGGTATATCAATTAATAAAAACATGCAACCACATACAATCAAAATCTGTAATCCTTGAACTTAATCAAATGTAATGAAGAGTATCAACTAGAAGTCAAATGTAATGGAAAAGTATCAACTAGAAGTCTCTAGGTTTGCAGACACAAAATTAACAATATTTGTCAACTAAATAAAAGACAAACAAGCAAAATGGAGACAATATTTGATACAATATTATCACAGTTTTCAACTCAAATTGCTCACTAGTAAGAGTCCTACTACAAAAAAAAAGGAAAGAATTAAGTGCAGCAAGCTGAATGATATAGATCTTGAAAGTATAATATCATGGTTTTCAACTCGAATTGCTCCCTAGTAAGAGTTTTACTACAAAAAAAAAGGAAAGAATTAAGTGCAACCAAGCTGAATGATATAGATCTTGAAACTACGATATCATTCTGTCACGTTAGAAAAGAAAATAATGGTAAATTTTCCTCCTCCAGCTCCCTTCAGAAAAGATGGGAGCCGTTTAAGTAGTGATTTAACAAGTACAAATACATGGCCAAGGAATCTGCTTTGAGTCAGTGCCAAATTGCCTATGATGGGTTGATTTCATGAAATTAAAAGGATACCCATCTTAATATTTTTGTGTTTCAGTCGACATGTTCACTCACTCATAATAGCAAGTAAATTATGCATTTGATGATTCCATGTCGAAGATACAAGTAGAACTCCACCACATGCATATCTGTCAAAATGAATGGGAGAGTAAAAAGGGTAGATTAAGAAAAATGACAATGAGGCAGATTACCCAATGTAATTCCAAATTCTGATAACAGACATCTGTTAAGGATATGAGTTCAACAGAAATAACGTAATTCATGCTCTTCTGGGAAACTACTACCTTGACCTGTTAAAAAAGAAATAAAAAGAAAATCAGCATCAAAAGGAGAGTTCTACATGTTTGAAAACTGAGTACAAAGAGGTAGTATAGGTCCTATACAAGTAGATGTACAATGTAATATTACTTAGATGAGTTTATGTAGCACACCTGACCACCTATTTCTGTCCTGAACATAAAAGTGGTTCGATCTTCAATCACATTGGTTTGAATTCTTTTATCCAAAGCTATCTCAATGGAATTTGGCGATATTGCAAAAAGCTTTCCATCATTAATCTTCTCGAAATAGTTGATCATTTGGCCAGCTTTCTTTCTATTAAGGCCATTTCTATTCAACTTCTGTTTTCTCGTGAAGTGACACGAGCATTTGCTTTTACAGTCAAGGCTCCTTTCATCAGTCACCACTGTAAACTTGGGGAATTCACTTTTTACTCCAATTGATTGAGAAAGAAACCTTGATGAAAGCTGCATAAGCAGTCGATGTCAGCTTTGCCACAGAATTACTCAAGTGAATGCAACATATGTAACGAAAATTATCACATAGAAAAATGGAAAAATTGAAAATATTGTTTCGACCTTTGCTTACACTTTGCATACATAGAGAAAATTGAAAAGGTCTATGGTATTGAAAAAATAGTAGATAGAAAAAGTATAAGAATTATAATTCAGCCTGGCCAAACTATCCCAAGATCTTGAAACAACTACCAACCAAATAACACCGGTTAAGTAAGATAAAGTTCCTAATCCAAAGTGGAGTTCTCTAATAAGAATCAAAAATGAAAATTTTGGAAAATGAAGAACGAAAGCACGCAAATCCAATACTTTTGGGGCTAAATAGCACTAGTTATCTAGCAAAAAGGAGAACCTTAGAGCATATGAGTATTCTTTGAACAACTTTTGGAGGAACTAGAATTATATATCACTACCCAAATCTCCTTCAGGGAAAAGATGAATAATTTACTTATCCCTATCGTTGGCCTTCAAATGAATTACAGAACTTCATTAGTGTGTCTCAGCAGAAGTGACCGAGGTATTACTCCAAATTTGAAAAGTGGGGTTCCAGATTTATAGTCAAGGTGCTCATATTGAAGCTTTCCAAATGCTTCACATGAATTTGAAAGGTAGTGTTTTGTGCCCAGAGAAGCTCACTGGGTGCCTCAAAATGTCGTCTCTTTAGTTAATTGTGCCAGTCATGCAAGCCTTTTTTTCTTTGATACAGATAAGTAGAGTCCCATAACTCCTTTCAGTTGATCTCATACCAGCAACTATGTTGTATCCAAGGATTAAGTGAGCCCTTACATTTTTGGCTCTACTTTTACATGGGTACCCAAATCAATGAGTGGTTTCCTACTGCCTTCCCCCTTATACTTGCATAAGTTCATTTTTTGCACCAATTCAAGAAGACCATAAAAAATATGTTGGTTTTTGTGTAGGTTTGATCAATAGAGATCTCTGGTCTTCAAATTTGAAGGAATACAATGACAGTTTTGAAACTAACAAAATAAGATCTGTTTTTAAGCTTTAAAAATATGCCACCAAATGTGTTTGAAGAGTTCATTTCACTAAATGTATTCCCAGTGGTGATTTCTTAACCTTCAAAAACGCATTGAATGCACAAAGGCTCTTAATTCACTGACTCCTGGTTATAAGAACTTGACGATGCAATCCAGCCCTAAGTATAAGAACACAGAGCAAAAACAAGCAAAGAAGCAAGTAAATTCTTTACTTAAAAGTTTTACTCAATCAATCAAAACTAAATCCTTTCAACTGGTGCAGAGAGAGAAAGGAAGAGCACTGATGTAGAAGGGAATTTACGAGTCAGACATTGAGGATGGGTTACTAACCGTGGCCATGGACGGTCGAGCAGGAACCGTTTGCACTTCAACGGATGAAAGGAGCTTTTGCCTCCCTCTGATCCTGCCATTTGCTCAACATTTATAGAGAGAGATGGAAATGAAACACGTGGCACTGTATCTTTGTTCGTTTTTCTATGTGCACCCTTTGTTCGAGATGCGGTTCAGGATCCAAACCTCCTCCATCTAAAATTGCCTACCAAAGTGAGATCATTTCTATTATGAAAAGATATTGTGTTACCGCTGTAACAAATTGTACAATTGCTCCAACATTAAAAGAATTTTGGGAATTTGTTTGAATCAAATTTTCACATCATTTTCATTGTTCTAAGTTCAATGTTCAAATAAAGGGGGTGGTTTGCACGAGGTTGCAACTTTAAAAATCAAAAGAAAATTATGGATATCCCTCAAAATGAACTTTGTAAACATTCTACTCCTAATATTTTTAGTATCATACTGTTGTTTTTTCTTGTTTTTACCCTAGTCAAAAAGTAAATCATTTAAAAACTAAATTACCTTTTCCCTCTCTCTTTTTCTCTCTATCTCTACTTGTTCTCTCTCCTTTTCTACTCGCCCTCTCTAAGTCTAGAGAGAGAGTAGAAATAGAGAGAGAAAGAGAGAGAGAGAGGGAAAGGATAGTTTAATCTTTAAATGATTTATTTTTTTATTGGAAAGTAAAAGCAAAAAAAACTAGTGGGTTTAGAGCGTGATATTAAAAGTATTTGAGGTTAGAATGTCTACAAATTACATTTTGGAGGGTATCCATTATCTTTCCCAAAAATCAAAGGCACTTCTAAATTGTCATACAATGCAATTTTGGTGTCAAAATTTCTAAGATAGCCTGATGATCTATTTTTATCTTTAATTATAAAATTTTAAAATCCAAAAATAGTTCAAATCAAGCAAATATATAAATAGATGAAAATCTTGAAACTGAACGGTCCATATAACATATTGCAAGATGTACTACTTTTGGGGCTTAAATTTTTTTTTTTTCATGCACTACATCTCAATGTCAAGATGATTATCAATTAAATGTTTTCCAATGTCAAAACAACCTTTTTTGATATATTTTTAGGGTGCACCTTAATTCTATAATTTAAGACGTCAACCTTGCATAAATTTTTTCTGGAAAATATCATGATAGAATAGTGTAAGTCCAACAGCCCAGATTGAATCTGGTATCTATAATTGATTTTTTTATGGGCAATGTTCATTGATATGGCCTCATTGGTAAGTGCTACAAGATCTTGTGTAATGGAACCCATGGTTATGGACCCGAATCCGTTAGTATGGAACATCTTCTTTTCTAAGTGTATATGAAAGAATGAAAAAGTGCTTTCGTTGTCATGGAATAAGAAGCCACCGTATCTTAATATATGTATTTGATTTATTCAGAGCTATTAGAGCAGGATCCACTTCTTGGGGAATATGAGTCAAAGAAAAAAAGGGGTATGTTGAATTTCAAGTATTCTATTTCACTGATGAGATTCGGAAACTTACTTCATACTTGGAACTGCACAAAAAGGAAATATTAAATCAAGGCCGATCTAATGGTCACGATTGGATTTTGTATTTGAATTTTAAGTATGCTCCATGTGAGTGATATCATACCCCATGTGGATGATGTCACCCCCTTCTAATGACCAAAAACACCCTTATTATAAAAATGCTCCATTACAAAACAAGTGTATAGAAGTGTCCAAAATTTGTTAAGTGCAATTATGAAATGCTCTTTAATGTGAGCATCCTAACATAACCATGTATGTGTGTGTGTGTGTGTGTGTGTGTATATATATATATATATATAAAAGTCGTCGTAACCCAAACTACTAGTAGGCCAGGAAGTGTCGTGAAAGGTACATGGACTGTTTCTGACTGACTCAGTGATCAAAGTATTATTCAAAATGGAAAATTTCTTTAGAACACTATCCAGTAGGACAGCATCTTCTTCTAGTACACTGCGTGTAAGAAATAGAGAAGAAGTAATTATAAACAATATAGAGAAACAAATCCAAAACTTGAATATCCCCAAAGTCCCAGCTTCTAATGTTTATAGAAAATGGACATTTGAGTTCAAAACTAGTTTTTCTATTAAGACTGTAGAACAAAACATTTCTATCACAGATGAGCAGAATAGTTTCCAACCTCTTTCTAACCGCATGATACAAGAACATAAGAATAAATATTACAAAATATTTGCATATAGGACTTGTTCAAGTCGCTATAAAACCACTTACTAGAATAGGTTTAGATAATTCTATTCTACTCTGTTTAAGAGATGAACGACATAAGAAGTTTTTTTATTCTCTTTTAGGAATAGTAGAATCAAGTCTTTGCAATGGTCCAATATACTTTAATTGTTTTCCAAATTTTTCAGTAGCCTTGACTGATCCCAATCTCTTAAAAGTCCCTACCTTAAACTTAAAAACCCAAGGATTTGACATGGATTCAGGATCCCAGAATATTGCCTTAGTCTATAGAATATGTTATAAAGTCATGAATACTTTATGCCCCAATGTACTGCAAATGGATACTAAGGGACAAGTAGTGTTATTTCAAACTAATATAGAGAAATCTAATATTTTTATACTTAGGTCTGTATCTTGGTCTCAGATCAGGCTCCCTGAAAAATGGTCTTTGCACTGTGAAAATCAACAGTCTAGAACTCTTATAAACAGAGAACTAAAACAAATAATATAATATCCTGATGGGGATGTTGAAATACAATTTAACTCATCTAGGTGAACCAGAATAAATATTTCTAATTGTCCTTCTAGATGTTCTACTTCCGCTGCTCCTCAGTCTGAACACGAGCGGAATTATAAGAGACTCATAGTTGAGGGTCTGACTAGAACAAATAGTCAAGTACAACAACCAGTTTATAAAATCTATGAACCTAGCTCTCCAGATAAATAACCAACACCTTCAGACTTAGATTTTAATATTTTTACTCTCCGAGCTGAAGAAAAGTTTAAATAAACAAAAAGTTGATACAACTGGACTTTCTGTCTAATGAAAATAAGAGAATCCGAGATTGGTATCTAACAGAATTTCCCCAAGAATTACTTGATGCTCTGCATATCAAATTTAATAAATTCATATTAAAACATAAAAAAAATGTACCATTCTTTGAATGGTTAAATGCATCTTAACAGAGAAAAATATCAATATCCCATAATTCAGTCTTAATATAGCCAAAAGCCCATATCAAACTTTTCATACTACACAAGGAGAAAAACTAGAATCCATTCATCCCCCTGAAACAAATATTCAGATAAAAGGAAAATCTGAAGAAAAAACAGAAACTAAGGTCTCACCTTATAAAATTACCCCAACAGAAACTGATCACCATACACATAAAATAGATGATATCCCACACATAATTGAACAAAATAATTACACCAATCTTTGTCTACAGACAATTGGAAAACAAACAACTAGAATTGAAAATATGATTAATAAGTCCCAAGAAAGAGTCGTGGATCATAAAGGGAAACAAGCTTTGTTGTTCAAACCCCCTCCAACCATTAGTAAAGAACAATTTAATCTCCAAGGTATAAAGAAGAAAGATAACACTAAAGAGTTAGTTGATGAACTAGTTAAAAGATTAGCCAAGCTAAATATTAAAGAGAAGGGGGCAGCCTCTAAGAATAAATCTGACGAAGGAGCTATGGTCCTTCAAGAAGAACCTGTTTATTATAATGATCTACATAAAATGGAACAAGCTTTCAAAACAGAAAGTCTTGAAATAAATACAATAGATTATGGGAGAAAATTTAGGCCTGTTGCTCAAACCAGAATGTATTATCCCAAGCCTATTCATGTAGATCTCCAGTTTGAGAAAGATCTAATTACAAGTTCTGTATCCTATTCTAGAAGATCTATAGTAAATTGGAATATTGATGGAATGTCAGAAAATCAAATTCTTGATCTTATGAAACATATGATCATGTATGCAACTGCCTGCAAAATAAGCAGAAACCAATATCAAGAAATAGCTAAAGCCATCATCTGTGAATTTACTGGATGGTTAAGAGGATGGTGAGATTTCTACATGGATGAAAATACAAAAAATGAAATATTAGGTGCCACTACGCAACGGGCAGTCAAAAATGAATTTGGTCAAGATATAATAAATAATGAAGGTGACGTTGTTAATACTCTTATATATACGATTACTCTCCACTTTGTTGGAAGTACTGCTTTGCTTGATGCTAGGTCTGAAAACCTACTCTCTAATTTGAGAGACCCAACTTTATCTCATTACAAGTGGTATAAAGATGTGTTTTTCTCTAAACTCCTTTCTAGAGAAGATAGTAAATCAGACCATTGGAAAGAAAAATTTATTGTCGGTCTACCTCATCATTTTGCAGAAAAAGTCAAGACACGGCTAAAAAATAAACATATTGAAATTATTCCATACTCCTTATACACTCTAGGAGAATTATATGCAAAAATATGTGCAAAAGGCCTTGCCCTCTGTACAGACCTGAAATTAAAAAGACAGTTAGAAAAGCAAAGGATGACTAGAAGAAAAGAATTAGGAGATTTTTGTGAACAATTTGGGTATAATACCCTACCTTCTTCCAAAGATCCAGGCAAGAAAAGGTATAAAAATAAATAATATATCAATAGGACAAGACCTAATAAAACCTCCATCAAAGAAAAAATTTCTAAAAAAATTTCCCCTAAAAATGCCTCTTTTAGAAATAAGAGAAAAATGAGGATTCCAATTTGTTATAACTGTGACACAGTAAGACATTATAAAAATAAATGTAGAGTCAAGAAAAAGATAAATTCCCTACAACTAGATAATAATATTAAAGAACAACTGTTTAGTATATTACAAATTGATGAGGAGTCTATTGAAAGTTCTTCTGATTCTGATATGGAAATGCTAACAGGAGAAATTAGAGATGAAGATTTAATCTTTAGCAGTTCCGACTCTGATGATAATAATGATAATCCCGATACTACATGCTTTTGTAATACCCTCACTAAGGAAGAGAATCTAATTATAGACTTAATTGATAAAATAACTGATCTTGAAACTAAACGAGAAGCTTTAGTCCAATATATAAATATAAATAAGACAAATAAAAAACCTTCTACTCCCCTCGTACGTACTAGGGAAGACTATA